TTCAGCCAATCATTTTACTCTGTATGTATCTTTTTCTCCCGCGTACTTCATTTCGTATTTCCCGCTTACGTGTTTCTCTCACGTTCGATTCGCACTATATAAAGGGCTAGTTTCGGAGTTTCGGGGCTCCTTATTCATGTGCTACATGTTTCTATGCCAGTTTATCCAGCAATAAACCATACCGTGTTTTGCATCCACATTGACTGTTTTATTCTGCCATCAAGTTCAACTGAAGCGTATTATTATACCCCACAGTACTTTTCATACCCCTTACACGTAACTAAATGAAGACGTGACCACATGACGACGCCAGCGATATTCGAATACCAACCGTTCAGTCACGGTTACACCTTTTAACAATAGCGTTTCCTAACCGTCTTTTTTAGTAACCGTGGTTCAGTCAAAACCAAAACAGTTATCCAATTCGCTAGCGAGTTTGCAAATTGGCTGCCCCAATACATTAGTCAAATTTGCTAAAATGGTATATAGCTATTTCAAAGTGTTTTACAGTATTCTCTGATTTATGTCCGTTTTTTTTGTTCACTGTCAAGCACCCTTTCTCTGTGTATTGCAGTGAGTTGATGTTTGCTTGGAGTCCTCATTTTGACTTCGATAGCAGGGCTATATCATCAGTGTACACCAGATTTGATATAGCTTTATTGTTGAGTTAAGGTTGAGGTCTTCTGATAGGTTATTTATAAATACATTGAAAAGTGTTGGGCTTAGGGGGCAGCCTTGTTTCACTCCATTTTCTAATTGAAATAATGGCGAGATTTTCCCATCCAGTTTGATTTGGAATATATATCAATTAAATGGATTCATATCAAGAGCATAGTTACCACTGACAATTGACCATTCTACTACATGTACTGCATTATGATTTGACAACCAGTTTCACTAAAGGACAAAAACATTCACTAATAATAGAGAATTAATAATTGACTTTCACAATGCACAACAACAGACACATCAACCCTTGAAATTTGAAAGCTGTGTGATCACTAAACCCAATAAGACCTGCTGTGTAAGACACTGAGAATTATGATAGCATACTGACATTATG